TCCCAGAAGTTTTGCTTCCTGTGCCTGCTAAACAGATCAACATTTTACCCCCACATCAAAACCAGGAGACAAAGGAGGTAAAAGTGGAACGAAAATTCCATCTCCATTTCCGGTTATTAATCAAGTTGACTAGTTCCCAGTCCACCTATCATGGTTTATTTTTCTCAGTCCTTAGATGGTTGCTCTTTGTATTCTGACCAGATTTTTTTTTTTTTTTAAGTTCTGGGAACATGTACAGAAACAGAACTTGCAGGTTTGTTACATAGATATACATGTGCCATGGTGGTTTGCTGCACTTATCAACCCCTCATCTAGGTTTTAAGCCCCACATGCATTAGCTATTGTCCTAATGCTCTCCCTTCCCTTGTCCCCCACCCCAACATTCCCCAGTGTGTGATGTTCCCCTCCCTGTATCCATGTGTTCTCATTGTTCAACTCTCACTTATGAGTGAGAACATGCAGTGTTTGGTTTTCTCTTCCCATGTTAGTTTGCCTAGAATGATGGCTTCCGGCTTCATCCATGTCCCTCCAAAGGACACAAACTCGTTCTTTTTTATGGCTGCATAGTAGTCCATGGTGCATACAGTACCCAGTCTGTCATTGATGGGCATTTGGGTTGGCTCCAAGTCTTTGCTATTGTAAATAGTACTGCAGTAAACATAGCTGTGCATGTGTCTATATAGTAGAATGATTTGAAATCCTTTGGGTACATACCCAGTAATGGGATTGCTGTGTCAAATGCTTTTCTGGTTCTAGATCCTTGAGAAATTGCCACACTGTCTTCGCAATGGTTAGACTAATTTACACTCCCACCAACTGCGTAAAAGAGTTCCTATTTCTTCACAGCCTTGCCAGCATGTATTGTTTCCTGACCTCGCAATAATCGCCATTCTAACTGGCGTGAGATGGTATCTCATTGTGGTTTTGATTTGCATTCTCTAATGACCAGTGATGATGAGCTTTTTAAAATATGTTTATTGGCTTCATAAATGTCTTCTTTTAAGAAGTGTATGTTTGCCAGGTGCCGTGGCTCACGCCTGTAATCCCAGCACTTTGGGAAGCTGAGGTGGGTGGATCACAAGGTCTAGAGTTCAAGACCAGCCTAGCCAAGATGGTGAAACCCCATCTCTACTAAAAATATAAAAATTAGCTGGACGTGGTGACAGGTGCCTGTAATCCCAGCTACTCAGGAGGCTGAGGCAGGAAAATCGCTTGAACTTGGAGGTAGAGGTTGCAGTGAGCTGGGATTGCACCATTGCCCTCCAGTCTGGGCAACAGAGCGAGACTCTGTCTCAAAAAAAGAAAAGTATCTGATCACATCCTTCTCCCACTTTTTGATGGGGTTGTTTTTTTTTTTTTCTTGTAAAATTGTTTAAGTTCTTTTCTGGATATTAGCCCTTTGTCAGATGGATAGAGTGCAAAATTTTCTCCCGTTCTGTAGGTTACCTGTTCACTCTGATGACTGAGTCTTACTGTTGATCTTCATGAAACTAATAATAAATTGACAATCAAATAAGAATATTCATGTTTTGGTGTCATGATTTGCTACTCGAGTTCTTATTTATTTGGTACTCCGCTGGTGGTACTTGGGGCATATACAACTAAATCATTTTCAAATGATTTAGTTAATTGTGATATATACTTTTTTCCTGAAGACAAAAAAAATTGTGCTCTCCTCAAAAGTAATCTCCTGCCTCTCTTAATTTTCTTCCTTTTGTAAATTATGTACCTTGGAAATTCGTATCTTAGTACAGAGTGGTCTCTTAAATATGAAATTAGAATATTCTAACAAAGAATATTTTCTCCTTATGAGCTATAAGCAGTTAAGTATTGCTATTATAGTACAATTAATTTACACATTTTTAAGATATCTGAGTTATCTTTAAAATGTGTTATGTGGAGTATAGTGTGACTTGACATTCACAGTACAGTTGAAACCTAACCCTTCTGTTAGGTTTCTGGGTTTTTTTTCAACTATATTTGTCGAGTATAGTATGAATGTCAAGTTTTCCTTCTGCTGCTGGAAATGCACTTCTCAGGAAAGGCAGTGATGTAACAACCCCAGTGGTCAAAGTCTTCGTCTTACAGATGGATATATTGTGTCCCTATCATGTAATCCACCTGCTCTTTATTCCTCCCAATGTGTATTAGCTTTGTTCAAGTGATTGAGGCATGTGAGCCTGTATAAATCATTATGTTACTTAGTAATTTCTTTATCTCCCTGATGAATTGAAGGTGTTACAGGTTCCGTGTGAAGGATCTTTAGCTTCCTGCTGTTCTGCTTTCACCAAGGTATTCCTTACTCCTATACCCCTCTTATATTCCTCATTGGATTCATTTGGTTTTCTTTATTTTCCTTTCTTTTCCTCCACTAGTTTAGAATCTATAGATTCTGTTTTTATTATTTTAATGGTTTACCTTATATATTTTTTACGTGAAATAAAAAGTTAGGTTGGATATGGTGGCTCATGGCTGTAATCCTAGCACTTTAGGAGACCGAGGCAGTCGGATTACTTGAGGCCAGGAGTTGGAGACCAGGCTGGCCAACATAATGAAACCATGTTTCTATTAAAAAATTACAAACATTGCCTAGGTGTGGTGGTACATGCCTGTAATCCTAGCTGCTCAGGAGGCTGAAGCAGGGGAATTGCTTGAACCTGGGAGAAAGAGGCTTCAGTGGTCTGAGATGGCACCACTACAACAGTCTGGGTGACAGAGCAAGACTCTGTCTCAAAAAAAAAAAAAGTCTCCTCTTTTTAGGACATAAAATCTTTAGAAAGTTCAGTTGAATTATTTTTATTCCTTTCAGATTTATCTTTGCTATTATCTAGTCTTTTGATTCTTTTTTCCCACCCCTCCTTCCACCAAAACTAGTTGTCATTTCTATTTTCCATGGTCAGTGCCTTAGATACTACATGCTCATCAATTTTTTTTCTTCATTAGATGTAAATGTTGGTTGAAGGGATAAATGACCATAGTAATACAAGGTAAGAAAATAGGCTGGGCGTGGTGGCTCACACCTATAATCTCAGCACTTTGAGAGGCCAAAGTGGATCATTTGAGGATCATTTGAGATCAGGAGTTTGAGAACAGCTGACCAACATGGTGAAACCCTGTCTCCACAAAAATACAAAAATTATCCAGGCATGGTGGTACACACTGTAATCCCAGCTACTCAGGAGGCTGAGGCAGGAGAATTGCTTGAACCCAGGAGGTAAAGGTTGCAGTGAGCTACTGTACCAATGCAAGGTAAGAAAATAAACCAGGAATGCAGTATAGGTTAGCACGATGTCTGTAGTAAATGCCACTAGACCAGGTGCAGTGGCTCATGCCTATATAATCCTAGTACCGTGGAAGGCTGAGGAGGGAGGATCACTTCAGCTTAGGAGTTGGAGACCAGTCTGGGCAATATAGCGAGACCTCACCTCTACTAAAACTAAAAAAAAATTAGCTGAGTATGCTTGGCTGAGGCAGGTGGATCGCTTGAGCCCAAGAGGTCAAGGCAGCAGTGAGCTGTGATTATACCACTGCACTCCAGCCTGGGTGACAGAGCAAGACCTTGTCTGAAAAATAAATAAATAAATAAATGCCACTAACAGTGTCTAAAACATCATCAAATAGATCTGGTTGTCGCTGGTATTTAAGTGTTTTCCTATGTCTGATTATATTAGTGTACCTAAGTAGACAGTTATACCTCTACTATGCTTCTAGCCTCAAGAGGGTGTACTAATATGCAACAGAGGAAAAAAATCTACCTGCCTTTAAGGCAGCCTGTACTTTCTTCTTCTTTTTTTTTTTTGAGATGGAGTGTCACTCTGTTGCCCAGGCTGGGGTGCAGTGGTGTGATCTCAGCTCACTGCAACCTCTGCCTCCCAGGTTCAAGCGATTCTTCTGTTGACCAGGATGTTGACCAGGATAGTCTCGATCTCTTGACCTCGTGATCCACCCGCCTCGGCCTCCCAAAGTGCTGGGATTATAGTCTGGCCCACGTGCATCTTTATGAGTACAACATTTAGAAGTCCTAATATTGTGTCATTGATTTAAAACCGAGAATGTTAGTTATGAATAAAAAGATTTCAGAAATATTTTCCATTCCAGTCACTTTTTCTCTTCTAAGAAAAAGTTTCTGAGTCTTCTATGGGCACCCGTGGTAGAATAATTTTTTTGTTGTTGTTTTTTGAGACAAGATCTTACTTTGTTACCTAGACTGAAGTTATGGTGGTGTGATCATGACTATAGCCTCAGCCTCACAGGCTCGAGTGGTCCTCCCAACTCAGCCTCCTGAGCATCTGGGACTACAGGTGCACACACCACTGTGCCCAGCTAATTTTTGTTTTTTTATTTTTGTAGAGACGGAATTTTGCCCTGTTGACCAGGCTGGTCTTCAGAATAAGTCCTTATATACTGATTTTTGCTGTATGTTGCTTCATCTTATTTTTACTTTGGACATTAGGAAAGCAGAAGTGTCTAGATTTATATTTAGATATATCATTGTTTCTGTAAAGTTTACTTTCATTTACCAATGACTGAACAAACCACTTTTCAAAATATTCTTACTGTTCGCAACAATTGATGTTTGTTGGATGTTTCTCTGAGCCAGGTACTAAGCTAAGTTTGACACTTGGTTTATCTCATTTAATTCTGTCAACCATCCTGTAAGTTAGGTGCTGTTATTACCCTGATTCTACAAGTGAGTTTATTGAAATTTAGAGAGACATTGATCAGTTATAGCTGTTTATTTGACATCTCACTTCTTTACCAGCATTGAAACTGTCAACATAAGATTAAAACTTTTTTCGTTTTTTCTTCCTCCCTGCCACCTACCAAGGAAATTGAGGTGCCTTGAAAGCTGAACCAATTTTTCGTGATACATTCAAGGATTAAATGACTTTGTGGATTTGTAGTTGGTAAAGCCTGAAGTGCAGTCCTTATTGAGCCCTGAACAGGCTTTTCATATAAAGTTTTTTACTTGTCAAGTGATTCTGTTTGATTTCTCTTAGGTTATGGAGAAACTCTTCAAGGCTACAACAATGATGGTTCTCTCAAATTGTCCTGAAGATGTTAAACTCTGTTACAAATTCATAGCTCCTGGCCAAAAGGTAATTAATTTTGTAGATAAAGTCCAATATATCTGCTCTTTAATGTGTTAATTATACATAATGAATAAAATTACATTTTTAAAATTTTCTGTCTTTTTTTACCAAGGACAGATTAGAACATATGCTGAAAAACAACTTTTTAATGTAAGTGGATCTTTTACTTTCTTTGAACTTTATTCATTCTTTATCACTGTATTTATCACACTGTATTATAATTTTTAAAATATATATCTGCTTATATAGATCCTATGTATATTATGTATGATATATATCTAGACACTCTCCAGACTCCAGGCATGACCCATATTCTAATAATTTTTATAGCTCTTGTGTTTGGTTCATAGTTGATAATTAATGTTTCATCAATAAATAAATCATAGTAAGATAAAATCAAGTAATTATTAACCATATTACTACAGTTCAAACTTATACTAAGTTTAGTCATCAAAATTTGGCTTGATTAAAAAACAAACTTAAAGAATCTGCCCAGTGTTACATTACAGCAAGACAAGAATTCAGGAACAGAAAACTAATAGTTACCACAGTGATCTGGGTGAGAGTTAATAATAATTTGGACTGTGTATTAGAGTTCTCCAGAGAAACATGACCAACCTAGTATGAGGGCGGATGTGTGTGGAGAGAGAGATTGAGAGACTTATTGTAAGAATTGCTTCACGTAATTGTAGAGGTTTGTTGAGTTTAAAGTCTAAGCCGGGTAGGCCAACAAGCTGGAGAGTCAAGGAAGAGTTGCCATTCAAGTCCAAAGGCAGTCTCCTGACAGAATTCCTTCTTTCAGGAGGTTAGTCTTTGTCTTAGTAAAAACTTCATCTGAGGCCAGGCGCAGTAGCTCATGTCTGTAATCCTTGCACTTTGGGAGGCTGAGGTGGGTGGATTGCCTGAACTCAGCAGTTTGAGACCAGCCTTGGCAACAGGGTTAAACCTCATCTCTAGTAAAATGCAAAAAAGTTAGCTGGGCATGGCATCATGCGCCTGTAATCCCAGTTACTTTGGGGGCTGAGGCGGGAGAATTGCTTGAACTCGGGAGGTTGCAGTGAGCCAAGATCACGCCATTGAACTCCAGCCTGGGCAACAGAGTGAGACTGCCTCAAAAAAAAAAAAAAACTTCAACTGATTGGATTTAGCCCACCCACATTATGAAAGGTAGCATAATCTGCTTTTTTCAAAGTTCACTGATTTAGACGTTAATGTCATCCAAAAAACACCTTCATAAAAGCATTCAGAATACTGTTTGACTAAATATCTGGGCACCATGGCCCAGCCAGGTTGACATCTAAAATGAACCATAACAGACCAGGATGGTGGCAAGAGTTTTCCTATTCTGAATATATTTTAGAGATAGAACAAACAGGATTTACTGAGGGTGAGAGAGGAGTCAAGGGTAACTTCAAGGCTTTTTTTCTCCTGCAGCTGCGAAAATGGAGTTGCCATTAACTGAAATTGGGAAAGCCTTAAGAGTGCTGGGGCAGGAGCTTTGAGAGGAAGGGAAGGTATCGGGAACACAGACCTGTTAAGATTAGATGCTTTTCAGATATCCAGCTATAGATGTTGGCTAGGCAGTTGAAAGTATGGGTCTAGAGTTTTACAGGATAGATAGTCTTGGGCATGAGTATATTGATAAAAGTAGTCATTAAGGAGATGAAAGAAGTAATTTGGCCTTCTCAAAGAATCTCTGCTGGTGACAAAACAACCAGGGAAAACCTTAGTTCTCCAACTCCTGTCTAATGAAAAGATGGAAAATGCAGAAATAATAGTCATCGTTTATTGAATATTTATCCAGACAGTGATAAAAGTTACATACATTACTAGCTCATTTTATCTTCACAACTCCAAGGAGTTATTATTCTCATTCTGCAGATAGAAAATCCCTACAAAGAGATTGAGTGAAAAATGAATTGGGGATTCAATCTCCTCATATTCATCTGATTTTAAAGCTCAGGCTTTTAACCTGGGGTTTTCATATATTTGGAAGGGCACTGAAATAAAGGGTAGAGTGGTTGTAACTGCCCCACTGTCCTTACAACTCTTATATGTCACTTAACTCTTGTGCTTTGGAGTCCTTGTTTGTAAAATGTTAAAATTGGAAAATGACATCATCGGCCGTGCCATTTTGATTCATTGTCATTGTCACGATCCATTCTGCATAACACAAATCATAGTTGCAGTTTAAATTTGTGGGGAGAGGGACATCAGCAAGATGATGAATGGAAGGTCCCAGGCTTCACCACAGAAATTCCAGTTAGCAATTAACCACATACAGGAACACCTCTGTGAAAATCCCAAAACTTGGGAATGAAATTGAGGTACTCAAATGGACCACAGAGCAAAAAACTGAATTAGAAGGGTAGGAGCAGTGGTCTCACTTTGACTGACTCCTCCCTCCCTTAAGTAGGCACAGCACCACACAGAGAAGATTCCCTTGGGCCCACAGTTAATGCAGTGGCAAAAGAGACAGTTATCCGGTTTCCCTAGCATTCTGTGATGTTTCCCTGGGGGCCCATTCCCATCTCACAGGGAACCCTAGGGGTAAGGTCTAGACTACCTGGGGTTAGGTAGGAACAAAGAGGGCCATGCTCAGGGCAACCAGCGCACGGATCTTGGTGATAACTGTGTTCCCACCAGCAGTAGCACGTGATCAGAGATACCAGCCAACTGCATAGCCCATTTACAAAGCCCATCTGCTTGCTGCAGAAGCTCAGTAGGAAGGTCTAGCTGGTTGGAACCCCTGCAGGGCAGCCACCCCACCTAGCCTCAGCATCCACCCTCATCCTTTGTTCAGGCAAGCAAGATACAGTGGCCATTAGGTTTATCAAAAAATGTCCAACATCACTAATCATCAGTAAAATGTAAATTAAAAACACAGTGAGACATCCCCTCATACCTGTTAGAATGGCTGTTATCAAAAAGTAGGAGACTCGGCACGTTGGCTCTCATGGCTGTAATCCCAGCACTTTGGGAGGCTAAAGTGGGAGGATCACTTGAGTTCAGGAGTTCAAGTGAGACCAACATAGTGAGACCCTGTCTCTACAAAAAAATAAATAAATAAATTTAAATTAGCCAGATGTGGTGACACATGCCTATAGTGCCAGCTATTCAGGGGGCCAAGATGGGAGGATTGCTTAAGCCCAGGAGGTCAAGGCTGCCATTAGCTATGATCACAGACTCCTACATTGCAGCCTGGGAGACAGCAAGACCCTGTCTCAAAAAAAGAAAAGAAAAAGAAAAAGTCAAATGACAAGTGTTGTCAAAGACGTAGAGTTTGGGGACCCTTGTATACTGTTGGTGGGAATGTAAATTAATAAAGCTGTTATGGAGGATAGTATGGAGATTTCTCAAAAAACTAAAAGTATATTTACTACACGACTCAGCAGTTCCACCTCTGGGTACATATCCAGAAGAACTGAAGTCAGTATGTCAAAGAGATATCTGCACTTACATGTTTATTGCAGCACTATTGATAGTAGCCAAGATACGGATCAACCTAAGTGTCCCATCAGTGGATGACTGGATAAAGAAAATGTGTATATACACAGTGGAATACTGTTCACAGGAAATCTCATTTGTGACCACATGGATCAACCTGGAAGACATAATGCTAAGTGAAAGAAGCTAGGCACAGAAAGGCAAATACTGCATGATTCACTTTGATGTGAAATATAATAAAGTTACACTTACAGAAGTACTGGTACAATGGTAGTTACCAGTGGCAGGAGGGGGCAGTTCTGGAAGGGAATGGAAAGAAATTGACCAGTGGGTACAAAGTTCCAGTTAGACCGGAGGAGTAAGCTTTCAAGATTTATTGCATAACAAAGTGACAATAATTAATTACAATGTATATCTCAAAATTGCTAAAAGAGTAGACTTTAAATGTTCTCACTGCAAAAAATAAAATGAAGCATGTGAGGTGATAGATATGTTAATTACCTTGCTATATTCATTCCACAGTGTATAATATGAAAAATCACATTGTACACTGTAAATGTATATAGTATTTGTTAATTAAAAATTCAAACATTTTAAAATATAAATTTATATGTGTGATTATTTGTTTGGTGTCTCCTACCTCTGTAAGGTCAGAGGTGGTTTAAATTGCTTACTATCGTACCCCTAGGATTTAGCACAGTGCCTCTAACAGACACTCAGTAAATACTGAATAACTGAGTGGAGAAACAAATGATTGAGTAACTGACTGTAAAAGGTATTCTTCTTTAGGCTGGATCCTCTCCTGAGGTTTCTTACTGGCTCACATCACTATTTACTTCAGTTAGTGAGGAGAGTGAATCATGATTTAGAGAACATGGATTGTAATCCTGGCCCTACCATTTACTAGCCATTAATGAGAAAATTAATATTTTTCAACAAATATTTATTGACTACCTAATATGAGTTAGGCTCTTTGCTGGTTGTTGAGAATAATGAAAACAAACACTGATTTGTACTTTTATGGAGTTTAAAATCTAGAGAAAAAGATGAGCAGTTAAATATTTGTATGAATAATTTAATTACAACTGTGAACTTAATAGTAAATCTTTAACTTTGCCAAACTTCAGTTTCCTCATCTATAAAAATACTGTCTTATATTGTTGAAAGGATTAAATGACGATTCTGTTACAAGCAGTATGTCAGACTAGATAACTTGAAAACACTCTAGCTACAAAACATCTAAAAATAATAGTTAAAATATTATAAGATTCTTTTAAATATGTTTTTTAATTCATTAGAAAATAGGAGAAGTTCCAGGTGCTAGAAATGAAGAAGGAACCAAACACCAGAGTGATATACACAGTTGGTGTGATGTTGAATATTCTCAGGGTGTAGGGAAGGGAAGCTGGAGGGTGATTTTCCAATTTTTGAAACCAGAGATTTTAACAGCAGTGAGAAAATGTGAGAATAGATGTAGCATAATGAATTAGAATCAAGATATCCCCTTAAATGCACACACACACACACACACACACACAGAGCTAGAACTGGCATGGACTACACCCTTAATGAAAGGGCCAATTAGAAAATAAGCAAACAAACAGAAAATTGAGCTAGCCAGCATAGAGAATTTACAAAGAAGTGTAGAAGTGTATCTGCTTAACCTGGGCTTAAGGATAGAGGCAAAACAGAAATAGTCGCCATTGAGAATTTGCAGCCACAGTTGGCCCTTAAGTGAACCTAGAGTTTGAATTTATGTTTCCTGTGTAGTTCAAGAATCTTCATGCCAGGACATTAAAATAAAAAATTGTCGGCTGGGCACAGTGGCTCACACCTGTAATCCCAGCCCTTTGGGAGGCAAAGGCTGGCAGATCACCTGAGGTCAGGAGTTCGACACCAGCCTAGCTAACATGGTGAAACCCCCTTTCTACTAAAAATACAAAACATTAGCCGGGCATGGTGGCGTGTGCCTGTAATCCCAGTTACTCGGGAGGCTAAGGCGGGAGAATTAACTTGAACATGGGAGGCAGAGGTTGCAGTGAGCCTAAATCGTGCCATTGCACTCCAACATGGGCAACAAGAGCAAAACTCGATCTCAAAAAAGAAATTGTCTTCCGTTAGTGGTAACCCTGGAGTAGTTGTAGAAACCAATATAAAACCAATCTTAAAATTTGCACCCTTAACCCAAGTGGCATGCTAATTTCTAAAACAAACTACTGAAGATAATCTCACAGTCCAAATACGCAGGGAAATAACCTACCATGAGCAAGAACAGCAGACACAACAAACAGCATTAGATTCCAAAGAAGTTCAAAAAATAGTAATCAAAATAGATTGATTTAAAAAGTGTCTTAACACAGTTAAAGGAAAATACCCATTATCTTAGAACTGAAATACTGGGCAGCAATAACTTATAAAACTGGAAAGGTATGTTCATAGTTGAAGTGTTAGTGCTTGTGTCGTTTGAAAAGAAGAGAAAGAAACTGGTGAACTTTAGACTTTTTTTTTTTTTTTTTTTTTTTAAAGACAGGAATTTGCGGGCCGGGTGCGGTGGCTCACGCCTATAATCCCAGCACTTTGGGAGGCCGAGGCGGGTGGATCACGAGGTCAAGAGATCGAGACCATTCTGGTCAAAAAGGTGAAACCCTGTCTCTACTAAAAATACAAAAATTAGCTGGGCATGGTGGTGTGTGCCTGTAGTCCCAGCTACTCGGGAGGCTGAGGCAGGAGAATTGCTTGAACCCAGGAGGCGGAGGTTGCGGTGAGCCGAGATCGTGCCATTGCACTCCAGTCTGGGTAACAATAGTGAAACTCCGCCTCAAAAAAAAGAGAGAGAGACAGGAATTTGCTTTGTTGTCCAGGCTGGAGGGCAGTGGCATGATCATAGCTCACTGCAGTCTTGAACTCCTGGGCTCAAGCGATCCTCCTGTCTCAACCTCCAGAGTAATTGCGATGACTAGTGCAGGCCACCACACCTGGCTGCTTTAAACTTAAGTGGATATGCATGTTAAAATGTTCAGGGTAGCCACTAAAAGCATAGTGAAACGGTGGTGGTGTGACAAAAGTGATTGTTAAGTCAGCAACATCAAAGATACCAAGTTGAGAAATCGATTGTGTGGTGTCCTCTCTACCACCTTGTCATCACCTTTCTGCTGCTTCATGCCTTTTTAAGGCATTGACATTGAAATTTCTGAAAATAATGATGTAGCTGAAGTACTGTTGAGTTAATCCTAAAAACATTAGAGAAAAGAAAAAACAGGAAATGGTAAAACAGAAATTGTTGCCCTTTATTCAGACTGCACTCTTAATGAATCTGTATAAATACCACATGACTTGTATTCTTTTGAGTAGAGTTCAGTGTATTTTCACTACCTGTTATAATTATTTTAGATAAATGTATGCTATTTCAGCAACTCGTGTAGTAATTGAATTTAACCTTTTTCATGCAGAAATTGTATTCCGTTTATTTTACATTTCCTTTATAGTATTGTAGTTCTGAAAACAGAGTACTTACCTTTTTTATCTGCTCTTCATTTATCTTTCTGTGAATTTGAGGTAAAGGATGACAATAATTATCTTTGTAGTTTAGCAAGCTCACTCCAGTAGCTTCAGAATAATGAATTTTCTTTATTCAACAATGAAAAATGTGAAATACGAGGTAGTTTGATGCCATATCATTCTCTATCACAATGTTTTTTCCTCCTTTCCTCAAAGCACTTTGGAAACAGTTTCTGGAAAGGACAAGAGATATTATTTTCTGTACTTACCAAGAAAAATACTTAGTAGAGAGAGTTGATGGAAGCCATTAAGGATATCAAGTGTCAGAATCGTAATTTAAACTTGAAAGTTCTGCCTCTGATGAAGGTATAGGGGAGTGGAGTGGAAGATGTGGAATAACAAGATATTTAGATAAGAGAATAATTTCTTAGTAGTGGAACAGTAACGTGCCAATGGTACAAAATCCTCCTACTGCTGCTTATTTTGACTGCTCTTACATTTCTCAGTGTGAAAGGTAGATTATACGAAGTAATTTATATAATAAAACAATAGAATGTCTAAGCAGAAAAGAACTTTATACAAGATAGTCCAGTCTCCTTATTTTACAAATGCAAATATTTTGTAAATTTTTGTATAATACATTACAGAAATTAATAACATGCTTTCACCACATTGAAGTGACTTACACAGCTAGTGGTAGAATCAGATGAAGAACCCAGAGCCCATTTTCTTTTGCTTTGATGGAACATATGAAACTCCAGGTATTTTAGGCATTATCTTAGCAATTAAAAATTTAAACTCTGGAGTCAGCAGATCAAGATTTACTATTTACTTACATGAGTGACCTTTGGAAAGTCACTGATCCTCTGTAACCTTCTGTTTCCCTTCTGTAAAATGCTAATTTTAAAATTATTACTGCTACTACAAACACCACTACCACCATCATTATTACCTTAGAAATTACCTATTATTAATACTACATTTTAATTTGAACAGAATTTCCATCTTAGGAGAAAACTTGTCTTTCAAAACACAGCTTTAGGGGCTTTATTTTACCATAAGATACAATACTACTCTGTCTATTTAGTTGTTATGGATATGAACTTCATTTTTTGTGTCAGAAAGTAAGTTTGTTCTGGATAAATTATTATTACTATTATTATTATTTTGAGATGGAGTTTCGCTCTTGTTACCCAGGCTGGAGTGCAATGGCACGATCTCGGCTCACCGCAACCCCTGCCTCCCGGGTTCAAGCAATTCTCCTGCCTCAGCCTCCTGAGTAGCTGGGATTACAGGCACGTGCCACCATGCCCAGCTCATTTTTTTTTTTGTATTTTTAATGGAGACGGGGTTTCACCATGTTGACCAGGATGGTCTTGATCTCTTGACCTGGTTATCCACCTGCCTCGGCCTCCCAAAGTACTGGGATTACAGGCTTGAGCCACCGCGCCCGGGCCTTGGATAAATTATTTTTTAAGCTTGAGGTCTTTCAGAAAGTTCGTAGATTTTTTTGTAAAAAAAAAAAAAAAACCTCAAAATACTAATGCAGTATATTACTTATAGTTTACAAGCAAACTGACACTTTCATGTTATTGGTGGGTGTAAATTCATATAAAAGGGGGCAGTATCTTTTGCAAAACCTCTCAGAAAATGTAAAAATTGCAAATTTTCATCTAACAATTCCACTTTTGCCATGTGCAAAATTAGCGTATAAGAACAATTTGCAGTAACATTAAATAGGTATATGTAGGCATGAGGTATAATAGCAAAAGATAAGAATGTGAAATACAGGTTACTGGTTAAACTAATTAATTATGATACATCCACAAAATGGAGTATTTTATAATACAAAAAGTGAAGAATTTTTTCGTGTACACATAGATCTGCAAGGTATATTGCTCAGTAAAATAAGGTGTAAAAGTGTGTATGATATGCATGACATCTATAAAAATGGAAGATTATGTATTAATACTTACATATTTATATAAATCAAATCCTCTGGAGGGAAAAGCACAATACTGATAACAGTGATTGTGTGAAATAAAAGGAGCTGGGTGTCTCTGGAATCGCAATGGAAGGGAGATGTATACTCTTTTATACATCTTGATTTTTTTTTTTTAACTGTATAGATAACTGTTCACATAGTTAAATACTTGCTTTGACTTACTTTAGGGATGAGGTTGTCTCATTGAGAGACTCTGTGTTTTCCTAAATAGTCTTATAATGCTTAGAATGTATTAGCAGGCCCTTAATATGATTTGAAAAAAATCCATGTGATCTGACTGACTGCCTTTCCTGTGTAATTTCCTGTGTGTTCTTCTTCTTATTCAGTATGCTCTAGTCACACTGACTGACCTTTTTGTTCTATGAACAAGCCAAACTGTTTCTCACTTCATGGCCTCGTACTTGCTGTTCCTTTTGCCTGGAATACTCCTCCCAAGATACTTGTATGGTTAATTTCCTTACTCGATGCCCGCTTCTGTTCAAATGTCACGAACTTAGGCCTTTCTTGACCATCATATCTAAAATGGCACCCCAAACCCCTCTGTCTTCTTACCCCACTTTAGTTTTCTTCATAGCACTAATAGGTTCCTGTTTGTCTCCTCTCTCCTCACCTGTCTCTCTCTCTCTCTCTCTCTCTCTCTGACACACACACACATGTGCACACACACACACACACACACACACACTAATGTTGGCTCCATGAAGGCTGAGCTTTATTTTTATCTCCAGAGCCTAGAATGATGACTAGTGCCTAGCAGGTGCCAAGTATATGTCTATTGGATAAATAAATGAATGAATGGTGAATTGTAGGAGAAAGTCTTTTGCGGTTGTAGTCTTAGTATTTCATACCTTGTATTAGGGTACTGGCATATCATGGATTCAGAAAATAGTCTCTGCTTGCTTACATGACTAGCTTCTCTATGTATATTGCACATAGATGCGGAGTGAGGTTACTGAATGGTCACTTCTCTTCAGGCAGATCAGACTTCCATGGGATTAGATCAGCCTTAATTCCTGATTATTCAGTACTTCCTCATGACTTCACAGTGTGATAGAGGAATAGGCTTTTTCTAGTTTTAAAATGAACTAGTTAGCAACCCCATTGTATTGACTTTTCTCTGCTTCTATATTGTTTTCCTCCAGCATTTCTTACACTGAAGCAGTGGAGATCTTAAAGCGAGCATCCCAGAACTTCACCTTTACCCCAGAGGTGGTATTTTGTGTGTATGTGTATATATGTGTGTGAAAATGTTTCCTTCTTATCTTTAACCTACTTTATTAAGAATCCTTCAAAATAATCTTATTTTATCTTATTAGCAAAATATGGTATTTGTTCCTTTGTACACAGACTTACAGATTTTGTTTGATGTTTGCTCCGTCTTGTTGAGATACTTAAAATGGAAATTAATTTAGAATAAAAATAAACTGTATCTTTTGGAATAGTTACAGAATTATAAAGGGTTGTAAGAGGTTATAAAGGACTAAAGGGTTATAAAGCAGCCTCCCATGTTTAGGAAGGTGAAAATTCTAAAAAAGAAAGATAATCATTGACTATTACTGTAGATCCCAGGTGTGGGGGTTCACGTCTGTAATTCCAGCACTTTGGGAGGCCAAGGCAGGCAGATTGCTTGAGCCCAGAAGTTCAAGACCAGAAATCAACTAGTTCTGTGTTTTTCAAAGTATATTCTGAATGACATTAAAAGATGACCAACAAAAGAAATTAAATTACCAAATATCTTCAGGCAACATAACTAAACAGGTTTGTTTTTCTTTTTTCTTTTCCTTTTCAGATTTAGTGCTTGCTGAAACAGGTTTGTCTTTCAGTTAAACTTTATACAGCCTTTTAGTTTGTGAGCCACTCTGAAAAACACTGGGATTTGTTTTGTTTTGTTTTACTTTTAAAGAACTTTATATTTAAGAGATGGAGGTCTCACTGTGTTGCCCAAGCTCATCTTGAACTCTTGGGCTCAAGGGATCCCCCATCTCAGCCTCCTAAGTAACTGGGCCTATAGGAGCATGCCTCAGTACCCAGCCAAGAATTTTTTTTTTAATACTTTGATAAATAAAGATTGTACAGGCCTAGTGTGGTGACTCAAGCCTGTAATCCCAACACTTTAAGAGGCCAGGGTAGGAGAATTACTTGAGCCCAGGAGTTTAAGACTGCAGTGAGCCAGGATCAACCACAGCCCTCCAGCCTAGGTGACAGAGGAAGACCTTGTCTCTAAGAACAACAACAAAAAAAGATTGTGTATATTCAGGGTATACAACATGATGATTTGATACACATGTACATTGTATAATAGATTATGACAATCAAATTAATTAACACATCTGTCATCACCCACACTGTACATTAGATTCTGAAAACTTGTTCATCTTATAACTAACAGTGTGTACACTTTGATCATCAATATTACCTCATTTGCCCCATTCCTAGAATGCAGGAAACCACTGTTTCTGTGAAGGAACTCCTTTATATTTTTATTTTTATTTTTTGAAAGACAGGATCTTGCTATGTTGTCCAGGCTCGTGCAAACATGGCTTACTGCAGATTCCACCTCCCAGGCTCACATCAGTCCTCCCAACTCCCGGGACTACAAGTGCATGCCACCAGGCCTGGATAATTTTCTTTATTTTTTGTAGAGACAGGGTTATGTTGCCTAAGCTAATCTGGCATACCTCAGCTTCCCAAAGTGCTGGGATTATAGACATGAGCCACTGTGCTGGGCCAGAGGTGTTTTTTTGTTGTTTTTTTTTTTTTTTTTTGAGACAGAGTCTCTCTCTATCTACTCTAGGCTGGAGTGCAGTGGCACATCTTGGCTCACTGCAACCTCTGCTTCCCAGGTTCAAGCAGTTCTCCTGCCTCAGCCGCCAGAGTAGCTGGGATTACAGGCATGTACCACCATGCCCAGCTAATTTTTGTACTTTTAGTAGGGATGGGGTTTCACCATATTGACCAGGATGGTCTTGATCTCTTGACCTTGTGATTCACCTACCCTGGCCTCTCAAAGTTCTGGGATTACAGGCATGAGCCACCACACCTGGCCAAGCTTTTTTGTTTTATTGGCAACAATATAGGTTCAGAGAGACCACATGATCTATCATTGGGCATGTGTATAGTGTTGAAGGCAAAACTCTTTGTTCTTATTCCAGTCATTTTTTCCTATAGCTAAGATACTGCCAAACAAGTGGGAGTAGTAAGATAATGTGTAAACCTTTGTGTTTAAACTATTCCTTGTACCAGTTTAATCCCAATTAAGTGAGATCTTTATGTGTTACAAAAGTAACCTGTGCTTGTTTTATTTATAATGAATTCTTTGTTTAAGTTTTCGTTTCTTTGTCTCCTACCCTGGAAGCTTCATGAAGTCAGGGATTATACTATTTTTCTTACCACTACATCCAGTACATCATATGGTACCTGGAATTTAATAGGCATTTTAGTATTTGCTTAATAAATATATTGAATAGAGTTAATAAATATTCATTAGAGAGCATCTGATTCATGAGTTGACTCTTATTTAAAAAGAAGTCATCACCTCTGTGCAGTGGCTCATACTCGTAATCCCAGCACTTTGGGAGGCTGAGGCGGGCGGATCATGACGTCAGGAGTACAAGACCAGCCTGGGCAACATAGTGAAACCCTATCTCTACTAATAGGACAAAACTATCCGGACCTGGTCATGGGCACCTATAGTCCCAGCTGCTTGGGAGGCTGAGGCAGGAGAATCACTTGAACCCAGAAGGCAGAGGTTGCAGTAAGCCGAGATCACACCACTGCACTCCAGTCTGGGTGACACAGCAAGACTCTGTCTCAAAAAAAAAAAAAAAAAAAAAGTCACCAAGAGAAGTTATTTAGCCAAAGATAGGCTCAATATTAGGAATACTATCTTCCATCATTTAATTTCCTGAGACATAGGAACAGTAACTGTGGAAGAAGCTCTAGGCTTTTATTAATAAAAACTGTGATTCTGAAGTCAGGTGTATGTTTGTTTTTTTAATCCCCTTGTAAAGTAGACTTTGTTTTCCTGCAGGAGTTATTTATCTGCTCCTGGCAGGTAGGGGAGTAATGGGGACACAGAAAGGTTAGTGTTTATCTACTGGCTTCAGCTTTCATCTTTCCAGGCCTGCAGTTGTTCTTGTTAACAAATCTCTCTCTCTGGTTTAGTCAGCTGTGTGACCTTAGCAGCCAGCTCCAAACATGGAGCCTCAGGAAGATGAAGCCCTTGGAACTGATGCAGGTTATTTTCAGGTGCTTAATTGTGTATTTAACCTCTGTCTTCTCCTTTAGTCATTTTTTTCTTCTCATTACAGTGGGGTATTGATCTACAAACTGAACATGAAAAGTACCTGGTGAAGCACTGTGGCAGCATACCTGTCTTTGTCATTAATTATCCATTAGCACTCAAGCCTTTCTACATGAGGGATAATGAAGACGGCCCTCAGCACACAGTAAGAAGAGATACTAAATAAATCGGGGTTAGTCCTCTTGGGGTGGGTGGGTTTTTCATTTAACTTTTGACGTATTTTCTTAAATTTTTGTCTATCTTTTTATCTCTTAAAATGATAAAGTTTTTCAAAGGCATTTTTTAAAAGTTACTCCCAAAGAAGATCCCAGTGTTCTATAAACATACGTCCTCATTTCTGTCACAAGGTCTTCTTCTTAGTTTAGGTGGTGTTTGTTTTGTTTTTTAAGACTGAGAGGAAGTGGCATAGAACACTGTATGGTTATATCAAGTCTGTAGTTAAGTACTGGTTAGGAGACTCCTATGAGGGAAGGCATGCTGGGCAAGAGATGACAGCAGTGGCACAATCAGGTAAAGGAAAAGCTGGCTTGGCAGAGCAGGAGGCTTAAACTGCTTTGGTTTGGACTATCAAATAGAAATAGTGAGGGGAGGGCTATGAAAGGATCCAGGCAATCTAGGCAGATTCTCCCCGTCTCAGCTCTTGTCTGTCTCTTCTCTATCTGCCTGTCTTGTCTCTCTGATCCCTTTAACCTTTCTTCTCCTGTGTTCTTTTTTTCACCCTTAACTACTACAGTTGCCTTTTTTATTCTCTCTCTCTCTCTCTCTCTCTCTCTGTGTGTGTGTGTGTGTGTGTGTGTGTGTGAGAGAGAGAGAGAGATACAGTTTCACTCTTGTCACCCAAGCTGGAGTGTGATGGCGTGATCTTGGCTCACTGCAAGCTTCACCTCCTGTATCAAGTGATTGTTCTGCCTCAGCCTCCCTAGTAGCTGCGATTACAGTCACGCACCACCATACCCAGCAGATTTTTGTAGAGACGGGGTTTCACCATGTTGGCCAGGCTGGTCTTGAACTCCTGACCTCAGGTGATCTGCCCGGCTTGGCCTCCCAAAGTGCTTGGATTACAGCCATGAGCTGCTGCACCCAGCTTGCCTTTTTTATTCTTTTGCTTTGCTTCTTCCCTTTTTTCTCTTCTTTTGTCTCACTCATTTACAAAATTAGCCATAACACGGCCAGGTACGGTAGCTCACACTTGTAATCCCAGCACTTTTGTAGTTCAGGATGTGAAAATTGCTTGAGACTAGGGATTCAAGACCAGCCTGGTAAACATAGCAAGACCCCATCTCAACAAAAAATAAATAAATTAGCCAGGCATGGTGGCGTGCACCTGTAGTCCTATCTACTCAAGAGGCTAAGTTGAGAGAATTGCTCGGTCCCAGGAATTCAAGTTCTTCAGTAAGCCATAGTTGTGCCACTGTGCTCCAGCCTGGGCAATAGAGGGAGCCCCCATATCTGCAAAACGAATAATTAAATTTTGAAGTTGGCAAAATATAAAGTAAGAATATATTTTAACTTGCTAAATATTTATTGAATAGTTATATATGTAATATTATTAGTTGTAAAAGTCTGTGAGACAGATTATACTGATTTCACAGTAGGTCCCAAAACTATACCTTACTGTCTGGTGCTTTTTACTTACTTGTGGATAAATACTTATAGAAAACAGAGATTATGGCCCACCAGTAAACAAAATGTCCCCATGTTATGTATACAAGTTTATCCGTTTGACTATATTTCCTGTTTTCTCATATAGTATTAATACAACTGTATTAGCCACCATTTACTAGATGCTTAGGAATCAAGCACTACCATCTCATCTCTAAATCCAGAAACTTTGCTAAGAAACTTGATTCCCTATTTTATAAATGAAAAACTGGAGTGCAGAGATGGATTGCATTTCTACAGCTACATAGATAGTAAGTGACAGAATTAGTATTCACACTTGATTCCCTCTGGCTCTGAAGTCTGTATTTTTTAAATATATGTATATTTTTCAGACTGCAGATTTTGTTTTATAAAGTCTATGTTCTTTTCCACTCTACTCAACTGCCTAAAAAATCACAAATAATACAAAATTACATTTTAGCCAATTTACTCATCCCCACCTTTTATATAGCATCATCCCAAACTAGTGAGCAACACAATTGATTTATGATTCTTACATTCCCTTTTCTCTTTGAACCCTCTAGTCTAATCGATTGGCCTCCAGGTTGGCAGCAAAAAGGAGACATTAGGGCCCAGATTATCTAGTCCTAAATAATTCAGTATTGAGCCTATATTACAAAACAGAAGACTACATCTCTTGGCTTTTTTTAATCACTCCAGCCCATCCCAATTCCAGCTCCCCCTCCAACATACACACCATGTATTTTTCTCATTTAATTTTTCTAGATTGAACATTTTTCAATCACTCAGAGTCTTAAGTATTCTGCTTAAGACTGTTCTTCTCTGTAAAGACTTTCCTGGGTTACTCAGCTACTTGGAGCCTTCCTTTTTTGGATTTTTATTGCGTTTAAAGAATAAGCAAAACTGTAGCATTGTGTCTGTGTTTTACAATCTCTTAATAAGTTTTACTTTTTTTTTTGAGAGAGACAGTCTCGCTCTGTCGCTCAGGCTGGAGTACAGTGGCACAATCTCGGCTCATTACAACCTCTGCCTCCCAGGTTCAAGCAATTCTCCTGCCTCAGCCTCCCGAGTAGCTGGTACTACAGGCACACACCGCTCCACGCAACTAATTTTTTTTGTATTTTAGTAGAGACGGGGTTTCACCATGTTGCCTAAGCTGGTCTCAAACTCCTGAGCTCAGGCAGTCCGCCTGCCTCGGCCTCCCAAAGTGCTAGGATTACAGGCATGAAAGTTCCACTTTCTTAAACTAAACATCTTTAGGGTGGGTATTGAATTTTTTTTTTTTTAAACCAAGTCTTGCTCTCTTGCCCATGCTAGAGTGTAGTGGTGCAATCTCGGCTTAGCACAAGCTCCACCGCCTGGGATCAAGCCATTCTCCTGTCTCAGCCTCCCGAGTAGCTGGGACTGCAGGCACACCACTATGCCTGGCTAATTTTTGTATTTTTAGTAGAGATGGGGTTTCACTATGTTGGCCAGGCTGGTCTCGAACTCCTGACCTCGTTATTTACCCGCCTCAGCCTCCAAAGTGTTGGGATTACAGGCATGAACCACCACGCCTGGCCAGAATGTTTTTAACCACCGTAGCGTCTCCCATTTATTCTATATTCCTCCTTCGTTGTAGTTTCCACCCCTGTCACACCACTGAATTGGGTCTTGTCAGGGTTTGTAATGATCTTCATGTTATTAAAGCCTGTGGACTTTTAAGTCTTTATTTTACTTGACCTGTCAGTGCTATGCAGCACAATTAATGAATTTCTATAGCCCTCTCCTCCCTTGACTTCTGTGACATCACGTTATCCCTGTTTTTCTACTTTCTCAGCATTCTTTCTTTCTTAGTCTCCTGTAGAGATTCATCCACTTCTGTCAGTTAATTAGATGTTGGAATTCCTCAGGCTCAGTCCTTGGTGGTCTTTTTTTCTCCTCCTGTTATTTCCTCTGGGTATATATTGCTTACTGTTTATTCTCAAACAATTCAGAAGTTTTTATCTCTAATTCAGACTTCTTCTCTGAGCTCTAAATTCATATACAGTTGTCCTTCAGTATCCTCAGGGATTGGTTCCAGGGCACCCTACCCACTAGCCCCCTCTCAGATACCAAAATTCAAGAATAATCAAGTCCCTTATATAAAATGATGTAGTATTTGCATATAACCTATGCACATCCTCCTGTATACTTTAAATAATTTCTGGGTCACTTACAGTACCTAATACAATGTAAATGCTATGTAAATAGTTGTTATACTGTATTGTTTAGGGAAATAATGGCAAGAAAAAGAATGTGTCCATGTGTAGTACAGATACAACCATCCATTTGCTTTTCTTGAATATTTTACATATGCTGTTGGTTGAATCCACAAATGCAAAACCTCTGAATACAGAGGGCTGACTATATCCTACTGCCTCATTGATTACCATTTACATATCTCAGAGACATCTCAGACACAACATGTCCAGAATTGAACCTGTCATTTCTCCTCTCCTCCCGACAAATTTGATCTTCTTTCAATATTCTCTATCCATCTAATTGTACATGCCATATACCTGGGTCATCTCAGGAGTCTTCGTTTCTCATTTCCTCTGTTGACTTAAGTTCTGTCAGTTTTGCACTCCTAAATACCTTTCACATCCATTTGTTTTTCTTCATTTTCTCTTTTACCTTTTCAGATTAAGATATTGCCTAGACTACTTTAGTAGCCTTCTGGCTGATCTTCATGTATCCACTGTTTCCTCTTCCGAATCTGTTCTCCCCATTTTACCGTGAGTTTTTAGAAAATATAAATCCTGTCTGAGCAGTGGCTCATGCCTGTAATTCCTGCACTTTGGGAGGCTGAGGTGCACAGATCACTTGATCCCAGGAGTTCTAGACCAGCCTGGACAACATAGTGAGACCCCCATCTCCATTAAAAAAAAAGTTACCCATGTTGTCACTCTTCTTAAAGCCATTCAGTGGCCTCCAGTTGCTCTTAGAATAAAACCCAAAATCCTTTATTTGGCCTATAAAGCCCAGTAGAATGTGGCTATGTCTTCTTTAACCTGTTGTACTTGTGGGGCTCCACTTTGTTCTCTTCTAACACCACCCTTCTTCTGTGTCTTCAGACATGGAGTGCTTCCTCTCACCTCAGGCTCTTTTCATATATTGTTCCTTCAATCTAGAACAGTCTTTTTCACCTAAATAATTTTACTTATTCATATTTATACTCAGTTACTATTTCCTCAGAGAAATTTTTCTTGACCCTCTAGACTGAGTCAGAGAACCCTGTTAGATGCTACAGTTGTACCATGTTAAATTTCACACCCAGAGATACTCTTAATTCATCATAACCTTTAACCGTTGTAATTTTGCGTCTATGTGCATGACTATTTCAAAATATATCAGAACACATGAGAACTTCTGTATTTGTCCATTTTCGTGCTGCTGATAAAGACATAGACTGAGAAGAAGAAGAGGTTTAATGGACTTACTGTTCCACATGGCTGGGGAGGCCTTAACAATCATAGTGGAAAGTAAAAGGCACTTCTCACA